TTACCGTTCAGCACGACCGGAGTATGTTACTGTAGGGAGCATGTATGCGGAGGATTTTATATATTAAATATCTCGGGAGGTCTCTTGATAATGGACATCGGATCGTATTTGATTTCCTTGGATTTTCTGGATACAATAAGAGCCTCGCTCTTTTTATGCACATTTTGGGATACCAGACACCGCAGAGGAACACCATAGCTTGGATGTAAGTTCAAAGAGGAAAGAAAAGGTGAACATCTGGGTTCGAACCACCGTTTCGGCACTTTACCGCTGCACCACGGATACTCAGTGTTACGTAAGATTACGTCGGCACTAATTTTCTCATCAGCTTTGCGTTTTCATTCGAACTTCATCATCATGTCGGCTTCTACTTCAAAAACAAAAAGCAAAGCTAAATCACGGTCAGCTGTAGGAGCCCCTTCCCAGCACAGCCAGTCTAGCCGCAAGGGCAAACGAGCATGGCGCAAAAACGTCAATATAGAAGACGTTGAAGAGGCGATGGAAGGAATGAGGGAGGAAGAAAGAGTGACAGGGTAAGTGTCCTATCTATTCCAGATCATGTTAAAATCTCTATGATGATTTTTTTGTGCAGTAAACCCCTGCAAAAAACGAACGACAGCAATCTTTTCTTCGTCGATGTCACTGGCGATGACGAAAGTGAGTATCTCGAGGTCGTTCTGTGATTTCCTCTTTGTTTATGGATATGCATATAGTCCGAAAATCCATTCCCAAGTCACTCACATCTCAAACAACTGCAGCGAAAATTCTTGCCCAGCGATCAGCTGTACCTGCTGTGTTTTCGCGAACGACGTCCTCCGGAAAGAGAAAAGCCGCGGTAACGAGAGAGGAGAAGGAGCGGATGTTGCGTATTGCGAAGCGCCCGAGAAAGGGTCCCTTCAATAGCATCGTCGACCCTACAGAATTTGGCTCAGGGAGTGCTGTGATTGGTGTAACAGAGGCGGTGAAAAACAGTGGACAATTCGACCCTTGGGCTGCAGACGAAGAACATGAACCGGAGGTGCCGGAAGGAACTGAACGTCTCCAAAAGATGCCTGTGAAGGTTTGTTCATCCGCATTGTGGTATTTTCCCTATTTAATATTTCACCACAGGCTCCAACGCATGCACAGCCCCGAAAAATTATCGAGGTCCCGGCAGTGGTCGAGCCTCACCTTGGAACATCATACAACCCTCCAGCCGATGCCCATCGCGAGCTCCTTCTCAAAGCTCATGAGATGGAGGAGAAGAGGATCTCAGAAGCTGAAAAGCTGGCGGAAGTGAAAACCCGGATGGAGAAAGCAAGAGTGGACGTGGATGACAGTAGTAGCGGCGTGCCGGGAATGAAGGTCGATATCGCCAGCGCAGTTGAGGAGGAACAGGAGCCGGTAGAGGTCTTCAGTAAATCGGCACCAGAAAGGAAGACGAAACAACAGCGGAGAAAAGCCGCCAAGGTACTAGCCGAGGTTCGTCGCGTGCATATCTATGACTCTTCTTCGCCGTATTGACGCAACCCTTCAGAAACGTGCACTAGCGCACAAAGTTGCCAATAAACGTATGCTGTCTACGATTGACAAAGTCAAGGCTTTACGCAAGGAGGCGAAGATGAACAACTCAAAGTACGATGCAGAGCGTCAACAGCGTCGACTTTTAGCCGAAGCCAAGTTAAAGAAAGGACTGTCGGGGCAGAAACTAGGGAGGCATAAGGTGTCGGAGGGTGAAGTAGACGTGCAACTGGGAGAAGACCTCAGCGAAAGTTTAAGGGCGCTTAAGGTGTGTATGTTCCGTCTCTGTACCTTCGTGCTCTAATTTTATTTGCAGCCTGAAGGCAACTTGTTCAGGGATAGGTTCCTCAGTCTGCAACACCGAGGACGAATTGAACCTCGCGCGCTCGTACTGTACGTAGTCTGATTTTTTTTCTGGCGTGGCGCTGACTTGGGCCGTTTTTAGACCTAAGAAACAGAGAACACGGACGGTCGAGTACGAAAAGCATGCGTGGAAGAAGTTCGATAGGCAGCAATGAGAGCCGTATGCTACGTTGTCTTGTGCCACTCTTGAGTAGTGCTGATTTAGGTCTGTAATATAGGTTAGTGGATAGAGTCGTCGATGAAATAAAGACACGGTCACGCGCCTGCATGCTTAATGTATCTGCAGACCCGTAGTATTTGCCACCCTAGAGACCGAGATGATTTGGGGTCGAAGCAACTTAAAAGTGCCGGTCAATCGTTGTTCGTGCCACTCTATAAAAACTTACATTGTCCAAAAACAACACCACGGTCCATCATTGGCCCCCCAGCCACCTTGCCCTTTTCGACGCTGTGCCAAACTTGACCAAAGGACTTGGTTCACTTTTTACCTCTCCCCAACGTCGACGTGAGAGCTATCAAGCATCCCCCACTTGTACCAGGCATTCCACCTACGCCAATCGACGTTCCTTGTCATTTTCTGTTCATATTCTCTGCACACTCCCTTCTCTCCATTTCTTCGCTCGTTTGCAGCATCCTCTATCACCCAACGACCAGAGTCAACGACGCCATCGGTGAAATTCCTTTAAGCGCGCTTGTTCGAGGAGATCACTTTGTCATTTTTTGTCTGCTACTGTCCCCCCTCCCTCGACCTTTTTGTAAAACGAAAACACCTCGCCGCCTCTCGTAACAGACGACTGAAAAGAGACGACAGCTTCAGCGACGCGTTTCGACATTCCTGCGACATGGCTTCGAACCAATCCTCTCCTCTGTTTCTACCCTCGCCGGTGGCAGAGATATCCAGCGCCGACGACACGTCAGAACAGATCGACGACCATATGGATTACCACCAACCGTACCACCGTCATCTTCTGTCACCAATCCCGGAGGGCGGCAGTATCATCGACGACGAGTCATGCTATCGGCTCGATGATGACGCATCGTTGTACAGTTACTTACCTTGTTCGCCGCCGAGTATTGATGGAAACATAGCTTCTCTTTTCCCCAAAGAGAGACCGTCTGTTCCTCCGCGAACAGACATCATCAGCTGCCTGTGGCCTTTCACTCCCTTAACGGGGGCTACTACGACTGTACCTATAGGGTATCTCCAAAGTTGTGGGCGAGTTCTACCGCCTCAAATAGACAGTCAGCTCTCTGATGAAGACCTTCTGTCACCGTCACTCTCGTCCAAGGTATGCGCTCTCTCCTCTATCTGCCACTCAAATATATTGAAGATTTTGGTAGGGCATCATAGACTTCCCGTACGACTTTCCCATAGATAACGCCCCTCAATCTGCGCCACCTTTGGGCAGGAGCGACTCAGAGTCAAGCCGCAATAGCTCAAGCACCGACGACGTGCATTCTGATAGCAAACTGTCGGCTGGACGCTGGAAGCGCTTATTTCGCAGTCGAAAATCGTCGAATGTCTCAGTGCCTCCATCCAATCTTCTAGAATCCTCGCCTCCTGTCGTATCAGAGTCTGGCACCGTTGACTCCGCAGAGTCACTCACCAGTGAGGAAAAGCAATCATCGTTAGGCCGCAGTGTGTTCAAAAAGTTGCCCAAGTTCGGCAATTTGGATTCGCTATCAAAGAGCGAGGCCGAAAGCCCCAAGGTGTCCCGAAAATTTCCTGGATTTTTGAAGCTGAACGCTGTAGGCTGGCCTACAGACTCGGCGTCTGAGCATGGGGAACAGCCTTCGCTGATCCCTCGCATGGCAGATGGTTCTTTTCCGCCCACTCCGCCTTTGAGTGCTCATGACTTGGGCAAAGTTAACGCGTGGTATGCGCCGGTACCCGTACTACCACTGACACCCAGGCGGACGCCGACGCTTAAACCGCCTCAACTTTCGACAGGCCCTGAAAGTCCTTCAATTCCTGATATTCACCCCACATCCAACGTCGCACCTACCTCCAAAGCGATACCAAGCCACAAGTCTACCCCCTGTCTCCGAACGGCTCAGAGTCTCGAAACTAAATCTATACACTCCTCCTCGTCCGCCCACTCGTCCGATTCTTCCAGAAGTATCCCCCCTCCCAAACCAGTTCCCACCTGCGAACTGCCTCCTACGCCAGTACCTGTTATAGTCCTCTCCCCAGCGTCCACACAGGATAAACGAAATACTATATATTTCGTGATCGAACCCGAATGGGACCAAAACTCGGACGATGATGTGCCCTTCCAGTTCGTCCCCAGAGAAGCTATTCCTGCAAGCCAGTCGAGGACTTGCATGGATGTGTTCAGTCACCGTATGTCGTTGCGGCCGCGGTCCGTTTCCAACCCGGAAGTTCTGGCTGCTTCAGTAGCGACAAGTCTGGCGTCTACCCTTGAAGGAGCTTGGTATTGAGTGTAAAATGATCTGTTCTAGGGATCTTCTTGTACCACTTGTAATCAATGTGTATTAATAGAACTATGTTGTATTGGGTCACTTATAGCTATCAGAGATCGCAGGAGAGCAATTCCAGTAATACATTGTATGCGTTAAGCTGTTCCTGTTGTAATCACTTTTCAAGTGACCCGACTCTCAAGGTTGGCAAATAGTCCAAAATAGCGACTGAGGAATTTAGTCTGGCTGGCGAATAGACTCGCCTCCATTTCTTCAGAGGAGCTGCAGATGCTAGTTTTTGGAATGTTTGCTCATTGATTTCCCTTATATTTTGGTATTACTTGAGTTGGCTTTACGGTTTGTGCTGAAGCGGCTTTTTAGTGGTTGTCTTCGAAAGAAGTAGTAGCCGGTTTATCGATAGTGGGATATATCTGACCGTACCTACTCCCGCTCTCTAAACAGCAGCACCCACGAAATTACAGTCCTTTTTGTAGCTGTGCTTGGTCAGGGACTTTTACTGTATGGTGGCGATTGCAGGCCAGTGTTGTATATAATTTGATCGAACCTAGTGCACTTTAGGAATGTCTTACCTGAATCTAAATGCGGCAACTCGACTGATCGACGATCATCTCCTCCCTCCCCACTTCCAAAGTCGGTTATTCCGCTGATATTCAAGATATTCGCAATGTATTTAGTATCATTTGAATACCTTCAACGGCGAGATGGCCGAGCGGTCTAAGGCGCCAGACTAAGGTGGTTACATAATCATCCATATGACCAACTCAGTTTCTGAGTTAGATAATCTGGTCTTTCGGGGCGTGGGTTCGAATCCCACTCTCGTCACATGTTTTTGTTGCCCAAGACGCTGGTCCTCGTTAAACGTTTTCACCAGAATTTATCAGCAATTCTCAGCTTTTTGAACTTTCGATCAAACGATCTTCGCACGTGGCAGGGGTGATTTTACGTTGTGGGTTCGAATCTCACTCCCATCATGATTTGTTCGCTATGCTCGATCTTATCATGTGCAGGAACTAACAAGAATGTTCAGCAGACAAGATAAATCCACAGTGCAGATGGCATGTCCGATTGACGCATTTCGTTGGATCTGGAGCACCTACCAAGAGGATGATAAGTTGTAAAAGTTGAGGGAGCATAGCCAAGTGGTACCCATAATCATTGCGCATTGGAGTCAAAATGTAAAGCAGGACTGGGAATTTAGAAGTCATCGTACTCCATAGGGTTTTCTCCGCCTTTAAAGCAAGAAATTAGAGGTCTTCGACAGTCCAGGTAAGGAAAACTGGAAAACTGGATTGATTGGCCATCTCCGCTGAAACAGCTCAGGTAAACAGAAGTAAACTACTTCTACCGACTTCGATGGCTCATTGTAGGAAGAAGTGATTAGTAGTGACATTATCTACTAGTGCATGAGCCCGAAGTGATAGCGAATCGCACATTCCCTCTGAATCCTTTCAAACTACCGTGATCCTGATCATCACAGACCAGCTGCGCCTCGTTGACATCAGCTGCGATGTCGACCCGGGATAACGAGGGTTAAGAATTATGGCTGTCAAACTGCAATGGCGTTACAGAGTGATAAATGCCAATGGAGGTTGCAAGGATGCATGGAAAGGCAGTGATGCAGTCGAAGAGCGCGGCCCGGGTACCGGGGTCCGGCGTCTAATACTCCTTTACTTCCGTCCATCATCATGGCACAGAAACTCGTTCAATTAATATATATCCACGGCTTTAGAGGTGCTTGGTCCTCGTCCGGGTATTCGCAAATCTAATGAACATGTATTTCAGGCGATGATACCACTTTCCAGGTCCGTCCATCCTGCCTTGGAAGCCGTATGGTCGTTCAGCATGTTGTGTAGTCATTCCCCGTCGACCTGCAGGAATACCTCGCAGCTCGAATACCCCCAGAACTTAATATCTGTATTAAAAGCACTCTATACCCCACGTACAAGAGCGTCAAGCCTATCTCGCATGCTACGAAGAACTTTCTCGAGTGGTGAACGCTTACTGCGCTTCGGACTGCTGTTAGGTGCTGAATGTCTGTGTTACCCAGGTTAACAACACAACCACCGGGACCTATTATTCTCCTGGGACACTCTATGGGTGGTCTCTTAGCGGCAGAGGCAGCGACGCATATATCTAACAATCCCAATGGGTACAGGCCACATCGCATTTTCGCAATGATAGCCTTCGATACACCATACCTAGGCATGCACCCACACGTCGTCATAACTGGAATCGCCTCCCTTTTCGCAGATGATGACAAGGACAAGAAAACAGAAAGCGAGATGAACGAGCATCCCGACGTTCAAATCGTCGATAGTGAAGTTACTGACGGATGGGAGAGTTTTCGCAAGAACATACCTGGTATGTCGCTGAGTCTATACATCGCTCCGTTTCACTCTTACATTGGACGGACAGGCCGGACATCATCCTCTTCCCTGTCGCTCTTCTCCACCCACTCATCTTCGTCCTCACATTCCCGTTCACCCTCACCCTCCCTTATCGACCAGACGAAGAACTTTTTCAACTCCCACTCCGACGACCCCCTAGTTCGTTGGGCCCGTAAACACTCAGATGAACCCTTCACCGCCAGTAAACGCTGGCTCGTTGAGCATTTTCAATTCGGTTCATGCATGTTCGATCCCCCGGAGCTGAAAGCTCGATACACGGCGCTTGTCAAATGGAATAGCGGGCTATGGGTGAACTACTGGACGCAGACAGTGCCGCAGCCACAAGAGAATGGACCTGTAGAAGAGGCAGATAACGATGTGGCTCTCCTTCAAACAGGCATGGCGGAGACCACCTCATCTACCTCTGCACCGGAGTTGGGTCCTCGAACAGCGTCAGAGACAAAGGCAGCAAAGAAAGACGACGAGAAACGAAAGAAAAAACTGAAAAAGCAGAAAGAGAAGGAGGCGAAGAAAGGTGAGGTCGCACGGCACTTCGTCGTTCTACCGACGGGCCTGGGACAGATCCTTGGCGGCGGGGAAAAGTGGGAAAACGTGCTGATCGAGGGTGTCAAGGACGAGGTGGGCGCGCATTGTGGGCTGTTTATTCGTGGGCAGAATTTGGACTATGATGGACTTGTGGATAGAGTGAGTAAGAGGATCATAGGGTGGTGTTATACATTTTAGTATCAGTCATTTTGTATTCGTTTATAGGAAGGGATGTTATTGATAATATATTTTCCATTTTACGTAGTAACTTGGCTGTATCTAGGAAGTTCGAGTAAATAGGTTGAGTCAAGTTTGTATCATAACCCGCTGGGAGAACCCGTTGGAGGAATAATTGATGGCAGTCTTTCTCTTGAGACTGTTATGTATCTTCGTTTGTTGAAGTAGACGACGAGTCCAGTCCCCCTTGAGATTCTTAGTCTAGAGGTTACCTCCATTATAAGGCGGCGCCTCCTAGTAGGACGAGTGAGTACTCGATTCATGTGACTTCGGAATCGCAACGCCAAAAGTAAAAGATCGCAGACGCGCTTGGAGTGTCGGTCACCACCAGGAGATATAACTTGAGCACGAACTGATTCCTTGATCGATAAGCACATGAAGGCGATTGCAGGCCAGTATTGTATATAATTTGATCGAACCTAAGTGCACCTTAGGAATGTCTTACCTGAATCTAAATGCGGCAACTCGACTGATCGACAATCATCCTCCTCCCTCCCCACTTCCAAAGTCGGTTATTCCGCTGATATTCAAGATATTCGCAATGTATTCAGTATCATTTGAATACCTTCAACGGCGAGATGGCCGAGCGGTCCAAGGCGCCAGACTAAGGTGGTTACATAATCATCGTCAGGACCAACTCAGTTTCTGAGTTAGATAATCTGGTCTTTCGGGGCGTGGGTTCGAATCCCACTCTCGTCACATGTTTTTGTTGCCCAAGACGCTGGTACTCGTTAAACGTCTTCACCAGGATTTAGCAGCCCTGAGCCCAGGCCCCACTAAGCATTTGTCAGCTTTTTGATCACTTCGATCAAATGATCTTCGCACGTGGCGGGGGTGATTTTACGTTGTGGGTTCGAATCTCACTCTCATCATGATTTGCTTGCTATGCTCGATCTCATCATGTTGGTCTCACCGTCTCTATATGCAGGAGACAACAACAATGTTCAATGGACATTAGAAATTAGGCGATGATACCAGTCGGAGGAGATAATTGATAGCAACTTTCTCTTGAGACTGTTATCATCATCGTTTGTTGAAGTAGACGACAAGTCCAGTCCCCCTTGAGATTCTCAGTCTAGAGGTTACCTCCAGTATAAGGCGCCGGCTCCTTAGGACGAGCGAGTACTTTTCAATGTGACTTTGGAATTGTAACGCCAAAAGCAAAAGATCATAGACGCGCTTGGAATTTCCGGTCATCATCAGAAGAGATAACTTGAGCTCATTGGCCTGGTGTCCCCTGTTAGTTTCGCGCCATTTCTCCCAAGGAGCTGGACAAGGGATGTGGCTAGTAGGTTCGCAAAGCTTGGGTTCGGGAGTTTCGATTCTTTTCTTGCCCAGAGTTTTTCGGTAAGTTTCCAGACTTGGCGTTGTCCCGGTTCCTCGCACTCAAAGAAGATGTGCTTCATAGATTCTGTCACATTGCATTTCGCGCACCTGCTCCGCTATTCGTACCCCGGTTTATCCTCCTACCAGGACTCAATTTTATAGGCATCGTGCATGGTCATCCACAGAAATTGCCTCGTCTCGGACGTGGAGAGGTCTTTGTGGTGAAGTCCAGACCATATTAGCTTATCTGTAGGTTGTTTTCCTGTCAGGGCCTCTGTTGCTGCTCGAGTTCTCTCAAGGTTCATTTGTGTTCTTCTCCGTTGTATCTGTCTTCGGTAAGCTTTGGGTAAGTCACCACTTAATTACTGGCAAGTAACCTTACCTCCCCCGTCAGAGGGGCTTTCGTCGAGGTAACTCACCTGTGATACAGGGGCAGTAAAATCACTGCCATACTCAACTCTACTAATATAGATTTATGTTCACAAAATAACGCTCAGTTCTGTGATACTGTGCACTAAATTATAGCGTATAGGATGAAAATACACAAAGGGCGATGATAAAGATTCTACGTGACCATCTGTGCAGTGTCAGTCATTTGATAGATAAAATTACCGTGTCAAGACTCAAAAGTTAAAACACCCCCCCTCGGGTAGCGATCGGTTCAAAAATGCACGTAGAGTTCATTCTATCTACTTATTGGACACTGTGGGAATTGAACCCACGACCTCACGCAGACAACTAAGTGTGCAAAGCGTGCGCGCTACCAACTGTGCCAAGAGCCCCATAACAGTGGCGTTTTCGTATCCCAGGCGGTCCGGACTTTCAGTAAACTTCGCAAAGCTCTTTGCAGCGCTGGTACAATGGATCGATGATTGTTTATACTTTTACAGAAATTTAGCAAAAAGCACACCCCACTCATTCAACCTGAATATAATCACCCATGGAACTCTGATGCGACGACGATGCTCCCTTGGGAGGCTTGATGACTAGGTCTAGCTGCTGTCTATAAGAACGGCATCAGTCTCAGTCAAAAGGCAGCAAGGAGAAGGATTACGATACTCACAGCTGCATCCTCAGTAGCAGTTTTCTATTTGCTGAATGCATATCGTTCCCAGCCTTGATAGCGCGCGCGAACAAATCCGCTCTATGGTCAACCTTTTTGACCTGTAGGATCTTTGCGGGACGTTAGCATTGAAAGAGGGAATAACGTTGGCTTAGAAGACATACCTTATTCTGACTATCCACTCTCCCTTGGATATCCCCGGATTGAATAAGAGTAACCACCTGGCTTTCAGTCTCATCTACGCTCCACCCGAAAGCTTGACT